GGGGGGCAGCAGGGGGGTCAGGCGCAGTGCCCTGCAGGGACACCAGGTTTACAGGTGGTCAGGGAGGTGGTGTTGGGGAGGTGGCCATTTGGATGTTCTCAACAGGCCTGGTCGCAGCAGGACAGCCGAGGCGGCTGGTGGATAGGACCAGACCACCGCCCTGTTGAGTTTGGTGGCATGGTAGCGTGGGCTGGGTGAGCTGGGGCCTTGGCTGCACCTGCGGGGCGTCTTCCCTGCAGATCTGCCACCGTCCTCTGTCCCGACTCATCTCCCTTGTTGTCACACATCGTCCTCAATGTCGTACAATGTCGTACCTCTCGATTGAAATACTCGTACAGCTGCACTCTAAACATCACGTGCAGTATGAAGAGGAGCAATGCCTCGGCGGGGGAAGCACACGTCCCATAGTGCGCGGCTGCGTGTCTTGCTGCTTTCCCGTCGCTTTGCGCTCCCGCCCGCCGCCCCCAAGCTGACCACCTTCCAGCTGCCTGCCTACATAATGAGGCTCTTTGCGCCGCCAACTGACGCAACACCTTGCGTGTGCTTTTCGCTGCCTGACTGCCCCCGACTGCCCCCGACTGCTTGCCCCCGGCTGCCCGCAGACCTTCCAGGTCCGGCTGATGCACGTCTTCCACTTTAGCCGCCCCGACCTGACAACAGAGGAGCTCGCAGGCGAGAAGGCGCTCCGTGCGCCATTTAACCTGGAGTACGAGGATCGGCAGCGGCCAGTGGAGGCTATCCAAGCTCTGGTTCCTCGCCTCCTGGGACCCCTGCCGCCCGACCTTGTCGACGCAATGCTGCCCAAGCCGGCCGTCTCAGGCAACCGCGCCGAGCCGCTCGCGTCGCATCTTTTCGCCGCCTGGCTTGGCGGCGCGCCTCTGCCGCCGCTGGAGGCCGCTACGTCGTCGTCGTCGTCATCGTCAGGCGCTGGCGCCGGCGCCGCTGCCGCCAGAGGCGGCAGCGCCGCTACGTCATCATCGTCATCATCGCCGTCGTCGTTTTGGATGAGTGGCTTGATTGGTCTGTGGAATCGGGTTTTGGGCAGGAAGCAGCCCGCTGGCGGCGCGGCGGCGGCGGCGGCGGCGGGGGAGGAGGAGAAGGAAGAGGAGGAGGAGAAGAAGAAGAAGACGAAACGCGAGGAAGCTGAGAAGCCGGCGCGTCCGCTGATGAGTACGGCGGAGGCGTGGGCGATGTACGAGCAGCGGGCGCTGCAAAGGGGCGACGCCGCCGTCGCTGAGAACGGCAGCGAGCTTGAGCGAGGCTGGCTCCCAGAGCTCCTCCTCCAGAAGTGAGGAGGAGACAAGCTGAGGACGAGGTAGCAGCGGGATAAGCAAATAAATGAGATACGATATGCTTCAAGTCCAAAGTCCAAGTCACCAAGTCCAAGGACTTGATAGCAATTGTGGTTAAGGGAACGACGCGATGCGAGGAAAGAGAAGTCGTTGGAGCTTAGGCGGCTCCCTTTCCCTGATCGCCAATAAAAAGTAAAAATAAAAATCTGCTATCCTGCAATAATAATAATAATATGTGTGTTAATATTGTAAGTATGAGTGCATGTATATGCATATGCAGCAGTGTGCGCAAAGTTGTGCGGGTTACTCGCGCCACATGCTGGAATCGAACGGGGACACACCCGAGAGAAGAAATGGTTTCAGCAAAGATACCAATATGAAGATTCGTCACATGGATATGTCAGGACTGATTATAATTTGTCATGTTTTGCTGGCATGATGGCGCGCAAGAGCGTGGGGGTTCCCGTGTGTTGCAAAGTTATGCTGCTCAGCCTTCAGAAGGACATAGGTTGCGCGTGCATTGCGAAGAGGAATGAAGGAGAGAGGGCTGTAGTTGAGATTGTACGCATGGGCATTCTGTCCATACAGGCTGTGCGCGTGTGCGGACAATGGGGGTGAGTGAGTGTACGATGTCCGTCCAGTAATCGGGTGCATGTGCGTCTACAGTAACCCACGGCAGGCCGTACTGAATGAAATGCACGATGAAGAGCATTTGACCATTTGGGTAAAAGCATATAATAAATCCCAGCGGGTCGGATCATTCATGTAACCAGGTGGTACGGGAGCCTGAAGAGGTCGCACCCTTTTTCCTTCGTAGCTTCTGGACAGCTGTCGTAAATATGGACGGCTTCAAGCAAGTGACGTTGTTGCTGTTGCTGCTGCTGCAGTTGCCATTGCTGCTGCTGTTGCCTGCTGCCGTTGTTGCTGCTGCTGCTGCTGCTGCTGCTGTTGCTGCTGTTGCCTGCTGTCGTTGTTGCTACTGCTGTTGTTGCTGCTGCTGCTGCTGGTTGCCACTTTTTTGAGGGTAGAAGTGCGTCGTCACGTTCGTCTTCGCATTTCATGGTCGCACATTGAGGATTTTGCTCGTCTGCTTACACTTCATGGTAATCCTTCATTCCACCTTCTCGCCAAGGTTGATGTATATTTGGTGGTGATGGACAGAATAGGTGACAAGAGCGAGAAAAAGATGCGGTTGTCTGAAATGAGGAAGAGGCATTTCGTACATTGCGGTGTAAAACTGCCAGCGAGCGGCTTCGAGCGCGGCGACTGCCGTACGGTTGACGCTCTAATTGATTAAGTGCTGCGGCCTAGGTTTTGTCTGCGAAGATGAATGCCTCCAACGCACTGCGTTTAGGGGGACCTGGTCCACGCGCCAAGAAGCCGTTATCGCTTTACCTATTTAAAAGCGTTGGTCTCAGTAATCAAGGTTGGAAGCAACCCGGAATTGCCTCAACAAAAATGGTTAATGAAAAATGTAACAATTACACGTTGAGACTGTTGAATTGCTACCATTGCCTGGGAATGTGTGTAGTCAACCATGTGGCTTTATGGAACCATGGGCCGCAAGGCCGTACTGACATGCAGGAGAGGTCAGTAGGCCACCTTCAAATTCATCATGGTCTCAGAGCTCATATCGTCCATACACTAAAGATTGCTTGTCTTATTTCCTAGTACCGGGAGCACAATGCGAGTCGTTTGTCATACATGTTTAACTCCATGACATAGCCTTTCATCTATATAAATAACCAGAAGATCAATGTATGCATAACACTATATATGCAGGGTTATCGCGCCTCATGTTTGGAGCTATGTTTAGGCTATGAAGTCGGGCTGCTGAACTGCACCTTTGACCTCATGGAACTCCAAAAAGCCTATGTTAAATGCACGTTCTTACTTTCCAAACCCTGACTTACATGCGCTGAGCGGGGAAAGGTGCTCCCATCACAACAAGGTTTCGCCATGGACTCTCTCCCGTACGTGGACACCCTTTTCAAGGAGTATCTCCTTTTTCGGGGTTTCACCGCCACTCTTCAGGTAGGACAAATCTCTTCCGGCTGGCCCTTGTTTGCGTCAGCCTAACGAGCAAGCATTGTCGTCGCGACCAGCATGGCTGGTGTCGAGAGACAAACACTTTCCCGGTTTTTGCTCCATAAGACTCACCAACCCGGCACCCCCCGACAACCCGTCCTCTTATCCAAAACCAACCCTAAGTCCTTCAGTGCCGAACTTGAGGCTGACCGCTGCTGCGGCTTCCAGGTGGGGCTCCCGCGATGGGCACCAAAGGGGGGAACATCCGTCGGGCAGGCTGCACCCGGGCATCAAATCCGAGAAGCGGGATAGCGATACGTGGATACCTTCCCCGGCTCGATTTTGATCTCAAAAAATTTTAAAGATATCGCATGCTGGTGAAGAGGTCATGTAGCGTCGGCTTCGGGCCATCTGATGTCACGGATGCCTTTGCTCCGCATCCCACTTTGGCAGCGCACTTCGTCTCCTTCCCTAGCGCCACTATAGCCCAAGCGCCAACGGCACCCTGACACCTTGAGGTCTTTCTTTTCCCCCAAGCGCGCAGGCGGAGGCCCTATGCGAGCTCATCTTCGGTCAGCTCCTGCCGCAGTGCCGTACAAGTCAGCTCATGGAGGTTCTGGAGCTTCTGGCGGACCGGTGGGGCAGCTTTTGAAGCGGAGTAGTAATAACGGTAGTAGTAACGGTAGTAGTGGTAGTGGTTGGAGGAGGAGGCCAAGGAGGAGGACGAGGAGGATGAGGACGAGGAGGAGGAGGACGAGGACGAGGAGGAGGAGGAGGAGGACGAGGAGGAGGAGGGGGGGGAGGGGGAGGGGGGGGAGGGGGAGGGGGGGGAGGAGGACGAGGAGGAGGAGGGGGGGATGGACCCTGGTAGTGGCATTTTTAATGTCGCTGCCTGCTGGCGAGGGGCCCACCAGTGGGCCCATCAATAGAACTCGGAGCATTGCTCCTCATGGCCCTGCATGGGGCCGCACGGGGCTGACTTAACGTCGCCACACATCGCTCTGCTACCTTGTGTTTGCTCTTCCTCCCTCGGTCTCCCGCTTTATCATCCCCTGCTTGCATTTTGCTTGTTTGCTTGTTTGTTTGTATATCATATTCGTATATCATATTCGCCATCTCCCCCTCTCGCCCCTGTGTGGCCACTGTTGCTGTCTGTGTGGAGATCCCCCCTGCCTCCCTGCCATTTACTGTTCGCTGTCCTGCGCCGTGTGGTGGTGTCGTACATGTGCCGTACAGGCTGTACAGTCAGCTAGACGGCCGGTTCGAGGCGGTGGTGGAGCGAATGGAGGTGGCGCTCATGAAGGCGGCGTTGGTGACGAGTGTAAAGGCGGGACGTCAGGACAAGGAAGGTGGCGGGGAGGCAGCCAGGAAAAGTGGTTTGGTAGGCCGGAAAATGCAGTACATGTACTGCAACTGAATGTCGTACGACGTGTTGAATGTGAATAAGAAACGGTGCGATGATGCCCGTGGATATCCGCGGCTCATGCGCGTTGCAAAACCGACATCGTCGTTCTTTGAGATAACGGTCTCCATGTCGTACGTGGTCTTTGTCGTACTTTGGCTGTTGTTGTACAGGTGGCGGAGTTCTTCCGGCAGCATGGCGATGCGCTGTTGTCGGGACCTGAGGTGCGCAGAATGGCACGATGGCTGATGTGGCGCTGACTCCGTACCGAGTTTCCATCCTTTCTCCCTCTCTTTCCCTCCCCCCTCTCTCTCTCCCCCCTCTCTCTCTCCCCCCTCTCTTTCCCTCTCTCTTCCTTTGTGTGAAACGACGTGCAGGGAATACCCGGACGTCCAGAGGGATGTCCAGAGGGGCAAACAGGGACAAAATTCTATTAGTGCGAGTTTGGTTAGATGGGACCGTCATTATTGACTAATTTGCTAAAAATTGCCTGCAACAATATGTTATTCGATCTTATTTATCAAGATTTTACTCGTTTGCGTGCGGCGTCTTCGAATACCGGGAGTGGTCGTGTGACCTGGGGGACAGTCAGGGGGGGACGACGGCGAGGGCGATTGAGATCTCCCTCCCAGCGCCTGGTGAAGTGCCACGTGTGGTGTCGTACGGAACCCAAAGCTCCCAAGGCTCAGAGCCGGGGAAAGGAAGGGGCTCTCAAGAGCTGCAACCCGCAGCGAGGTCGCACCACAGGGCCGTGAAAACATCCGTACGCGCACAAACGTGCGAATATATACATGTATACATGTATGTATGTATTTAAATGTATGTATGTATTTTTAGTGTATGTACGTATGTGCGTCCTCCCCGCTCCCCCCCTCCTCCCCCCCCTCTCCCTGCAGGCGGGTGTGTGGCGGCAGTGGGCGGCCCTGGCCTTCGTGCCCAACCCGCGAAAGGATCCGGCATTCCAGGTGCGTCGTACGTGGTGCAGGGGGGCTGTGGGGGCATGTGAGGGGGGGTGGAGAGAGGGGAGGGGAGGGGAGGGGAGGGGAGGGAACGCAGGCAGCCGGAGGGTGGGTGGGGGATGATGAGGGGGTGAGGTGGGGGGGTTGCGGCGGGGGGTTGCCGTCACGACTGTGTTCGTGTATCTGGCCCTACCCACCTACCTGGCTTCGTGACCGGTAGCCACCACCCCGCAGCCCCGCTCCCACGCCCTGCCGCAGACCAGGGCATTCTCACCACCATCACCGCTGCAGCCCTACCACCTCACCTCACACCTCACCTCACCCATCACCTCACACCTCACCTCACCCCATCTCACCTCGCCTCCTGGGTCATGTGGGTCATGCAGGCCTACTTCTCGCCGGACTGGATGAGCCTCCTTGAGGTGGGGGTGGGGGTGGGGGTGGGTGGGCGGCTTCCATCGGGCCACATCATTGACAGCATCAAGGAAGCCGCTCCGGAACCATGTGATTATGACGGGTTTCGCGCACACGCGCGTCTGTGTGTGTGCGTATGTATGTATGTATGTACGTACGTTTGTTGTGATGTGGGTTCGGATGTGTCCTCTCGCAGGTCTCCTTCCGTAACTTTCTGAGCCAGGTCATGGCCGCGTTGCCGCTACCTGCCGTACTGCGGTTCAACCAGGACCGCCGACAACGACTGGCCCTGCAGCAGCAGGTGGGGGGGGGGCGACTTGCTGCCACTGCTGCTGCTACTGCTGCCACTGCTGCTGTCTACTGCTGCTACTGCTGCTGTCTACTGCTGCTACTGCTGCTGTCTACCATTTACTGCTATTGCTGCTATTGTCGCAGACACGGCTGTGGTCTTGCACCGCCAGCCGCCGCCGCCGCCGCGGTAACGGCAAAATGCTATAATCCAAGATAGGCTCTACTACTCGGTGCACCCCCGCACAGCACACAGCACACAAGCAGCACTCCTAGCAACCTAGGACCACAAGGCGGGCCGCAGCTCCGAATCCCGTAGCTCCATAACGACCTGAAAACTGTCTAGTACTGACCCGGAAAGGTCGCATACGCCCGGACCATCAAGTCGCCGCGGCCAGCTGCCATGGGGCAACCGTCGTGGCGCATGACCCAACGGTCACTAACCAACGCTAACCGCAGGTGGACTCGCTGCTGCGGCAAGTGGAGTCGCTATCTCAGCAGCTGGAGGCGGCGAAAGCGTCGATGGCGGCGGCGGTGGCGGCTTCTGTACGGCATAGCTGTGGGGATGGCGGCCTTGAGAAGGAGCCTAGAGAGGAGAGGGCGGCGGTGGCGGCGGCGGCAGTAGTGCAGTCGCCGCCACTTGCTGCTGCTGGTGGTTGTGCTACTGCCGGCGCCGTTGCGGGTTCGAAAGATACGCATGTCGGCGGACGGACTCCTGTTATGCAACTGCCAGGCGGCGGCGACGGCAGCGGCGACGGCAGCGCAAACGACGACGGCGGCGGCGGCGGCGCTGGGGCCGCGAGACCAACTTTGCAGCTTCAACAGCCGGCGGCAGTCAGTATTAAGGACGACGCGGGAGGTTTGACTGATAAAGCCGCTGCGGCGGATCTGACCCCGTCTCTGCCCTCGCCTCTGCCGCCTCCGCCGCCGCAACGGCCGCCATCGCCGTCGACGACCTTGCAACAGCGGCAGCAGCAGCAGCAGCCGCTGTCGCCGTCACACCACCAGCAGCAGCCCCAACACCACTGTCGTACATTGAGCCTAGAGGTTAGTACGGCTTACACCGGGTATATCGGGTGCTGGTGTCAGGTGAATGAGGCCCCTGGGAAGAGCTAGGGCGAGGAGAGCTAGGGCGAGGAGAGCTAGGGCGAGGAGGGCTAGGGCGAGGAGAGCTAGGGCGAGGAGAGCTAGGGCGAGGAGGGCTAGGGTGAGGAGAGCTAGGGCGAGGAGGGCTAGGGCGAGGAGAGCTAGGGCGAGGAGGGCTAGGGCGAGGAGGGCTAGGGCGAGGAGAGCTAGGGCGAGGAGAGCTAGGGCGAGGAGAGCTAGGGCGAGGAGAGCTAGGGCGAGGAGGGCTAGGGCGAGGAGGGCTAGGGCGAGGAGAGCTAGGGCGAGGAGAGCTAGGGCGAGGAGAGCTAGGGCGAGGAGAGCTAGGGCGAGGAGAGCTAGGGCGAGGAGAGCTAGGGCGAGGAGAGCTAGGGCGAGGAGAGCTAGGGCGAGGAGAGCTAGGGCGAGGAGAGCTAGGGCGAGGAGAGCTAGGGCGAGGAGAGCTAGGGCGAGGAGAGCTAGGGCGAGGAGGGCTAGGGCGAGGAGAGCTAGGGCGAGGAGAGCTAGGGCGAGGAGGGCTAGGGCGAGGAGAGCTAGGGCGAGGAGAGCTAGGGCGAGGAGAGCTAGGGCGAGGAGAGCTAGGGCGAGGAGAGCTAGGGCGAGGAGAGCTAGGGCGAGGAGAGCTAGGGCGAGGAGAGCTAGGGCGAGGAGAGCTAGGGCGAGGAGAGCTAGGGCGAGGAGAGCTAGGGCGAGGAGAGCTAGGGCGAGGAGAGCTAGGGCGAGGAGAGCTAGGGCGAGGAGAGCTAGGGCGAGGAGAGCTAGGGTGAGGAGAGCTAGGGCGAGGAGAGCTAGGGCGAGGACGGTGATGTGGCCACAAGCCCAGCGCTCCAGTGGTCGCTCCCCCACGACCTCTCCCCATACCTGCCAGCCGGCACTCAACCAACGAACCGACCGCCTGTGCCGTACCTCCGTACAGGCATGGCACGCCATGGTGGACTCGTCGGCGGCCGCTGTGCCTCCCCAGGTAGCCGCCGGGTGGCCCTGGCGCCGCGTGTGTGTATGATGTGTGAAACAGGGGGGTGTATCTTCGCGCGTGGCAGCTACCCTGCGAAACCCTGCCTTCCCCGGTATTTTGGGGCACCCTCATCCAGTCACCCTAGTCAACTTCTCAGTGGATCGCTCAGGTTCCGCACCCACCACCAGCATCCAACGGAATCTGCCGGGTCGACAGCGGCCCAACTCCATTCCTGGTCGGCTCGCAGGTTAACTTTATCCCAGGCCACCACCGTCCATCAACTAGGGGCGCAATGCCTTCCACCATCGGAAGGACTTTTGACCCTAATCGGTATCGATCCCGGGATCTCCCGGGGCCAATGGTCGCGCCTTACCAGTAGTGCCAAACCCTAGTGTATGTATGTATGTATGTATTTATGTGTGTGGCACGTGTGTTAATGTGGCAATGCGTGAGTAAATCACGGGTCACTCAGCGACCAACTGACCCAATGCAGTAAAATTACGTGTCAAACCCGTGGGCCATATGGCTCGTGCGTCATTGTGACCCACGGGTCACAGCGGTTCAGAGAACTCAGGAGTAGTCATTAACCGTGGCGTAATCGTGGCGGAGATCCGAACCAACAGGGCGTCCGTCGTCTCTGCGGAGGACGAGGACGGCCCTATATCTAATAACATGCGCCCAATCCAAGGGCTCCGAAACCAAACTCATCCCTCCCCGGGCACCCCCTCACATGAAGCACTATGGGACGGCGTTGGGGTCGGGGGAAGGAGGGGGGGAAAGGGGAGATCTGCCGCCCGGGGATTGGGTGGGTGGGGGGAGGACATGACGGCAGTTGCAGCATGCTGATTTGCTTGGGTCGTAGGGACGTTGGATTGTTCGGTGGTGGCGGAAGGCGCGGAGAGTAGCGGCGCTGGAGGCGGGGGAGGCTATTGAAGCTCTCCCCTCCCATTTTCTGCGGCAGCTGAGGAATCAGTCCCATGTTGCCTGTGCGTGCAAACACACACGCACACAAAAACGCACACATGTTACATTTTTGGAGGGTAACGCAACTCAAAAGTGTAACACATACACACAGGTTGAGGTGGCAGCTTCAGTTCAGCGTTACGGTACGGCAAGCGGCAGGAGTGCCGGCGGCGGCGGCAGCGGCGGCACGACTGGCGCCGCATTCTCCGGTTTTGCGTCATCGGGGAGGCCAAACTCAGAGGCCGGCGACGTAGACGGCGCCGGTGGCGGCGGGGACGTCAGCCAGTGCGATGCCGTGGCGCTAGCGCCGTCGCCGGAGGTGGCGGCGCCGTCAAGTTATGTACAGCGCTCCGCCGGCGCGGCGCTGCCGTCGCTGGCGGAGGAGCCCGGGGACGCCGCGCCGGCGCCGCTGATAGGATCCGCGTCCTCACCACTTTCCTCTAGCGTCGCCGCTGCCGCTGGGGCAATTGCGGTGTTGACGGCGGCGGCGCCGGATCTTCGCAGTCCGCACGGTAATCCCCTCCGCGGCGGTGACGGCAATAACGCTGACGGCGACGCTGACGTAGACATGGAAGAGGACCCAGCGGTGATGTTGGTTTCGGGGCCCGCGGTGATGGAAGCAAGCGGCGGCGGCGTCCGACGCCGGCGCACTAGCAGCCGGAGCAGCAGCAACTTCAGTGGCGGCGACCGCAGGTACGAGACAACATAAGGCACCCGCGGTGCTTCGTTCCGTGTTTGCGCCGCGGGCAAGGTTTGGGGCCAGTCTGGAGCAACAACATGAGCCGGCCGGCCCGCCTAGCGCTGCCCAGGGGAAGAGGAAGCGCTGTATACCATGGAAAAGCCTGAGGCCCTGTGCCTCTTGAGTATGAGCACGAGTATGAGTATGAGTATGAGAGACGAAAGAGGCGTAGAACGCGATAGCTGGGTTGTGCTTTATAAGGCTGGGGTTGCGCACCCTTGCTGCTCGTCACTCGTCCCGTACAGTATGGACGAGGACGAGGACGAGGACGACATCGGCACCGCCGTTGTTCCCGGGGTGGACGACGAGGAGGACAATGCAGAGGTGGGGATGGAGGCGGAGGGCGGGCGCCAGCACGAGGGCGCAGACGTGACACATGGCCGCATGGAGGATGGGGATCGGGGGTACGGCAGCGCGCCGTCCACGGAGGTTGGTTTCGGCGCAGCTGCCGCGGCTGCAGCAGCAGCAGCAGCAGCAGCAGTTGGCGGAAGCTCTGCGGACTCACGAAGGTTCCTGGTGCACAAACGGAACGCTCCCCTGGCTCGGCCGCCGCCACCGCCGTCACAGTCGACGTCCAGCGGCGGCGGCGGCGGCGGCGGCGGTACCGCAGTAGTTGGTGGCGGCCGCTGGCTTGGCGTCAGCACCCATCTGGCGCCGCCAGGGACGCTGCATGGCCGCGGCTCTGCCGTACTGGCGGCGCAGTTTTCGCCTGGCGGCGGTCATAACCTGGTGACGGGCGCTGCGGACGGTTCTGTGGCCATTTGGTCACCTCTCTCGGTACGGCAGCCCTGTCCTGCGTTAACTGTATCTGCCTGTCTGTCTGTCTGCCTTTCTGCCTGTTTGTCTGTCTGTCTGTCTGTTTTATTGTCTGTTTCCAACCGCATTACGAAGAAGTCACTCCCTACGGGGGGTTACATCGAACCGGTGTTTCACCTCGTTGTCACGTCGTCCGGATGTTCTTTCGCCACCTTCATCCTCCTTCGCCTTCCACAATTTGTCCAACTCCTCCTCCTCCTCCTCCTCCTCCTCCTCAACCATGATCGCTGTTGGGCCCCCCTGGAGGGCTCCGTGATGAGAGATGCCGATGAATGATGACCTTTAGGTGGCCATCAGCCCTTTGCGTTCTGGTTGCAAGCCTTTCGTTTACCTTCTTTTAACCCGGCCAGGCCTAAACATTCTGGCCTATGAGTTCTGGCTTAAATATTTTTGCCTACAAATTCATCATCTCACTATTGCATTGCTCTTCTGCTTTGCGGTCGGCGGTACGGCGTACGGCGTACGGCGGATTGCCCTCTATACGGAGACAGCCCTCCTCAAGGTCCTCTTCATCCCCGCGGGAGGCCCGACTGACTTGCGGTGCACCGGTGACGTGCGTAGCGTGGGACGCTCGGGCCGACAAGGTACGGCATTGTACCACATTGTACGACAGGGAACATTAGGGTTTTACGTCAGGGACCGTCTTGCCTCATCTTGTGAGCAGGGAACATCCGGGAAGGGAGAATCCACAACTGGTCCAGGCAGCTGATGCTCCTTTTTTTATAAAATGCAATCAAGCGTCTAGGTCTCTTTCCTCCAGATGATCGCGGCAGTGTTGCTATTGCCAGCTAGGCGTTCGACCAGCTCGAGAGCTTGATTGGACATACACTGTTAGGCTGTCTTTAGCTGTACGGCTGTACGGCTTTGACGTCCTCAGCGCCTCGGGATTCACCGGCCACATGAGCCGCGATGTTGGACCTCGTCCTCGTATGGGGCCAGCTTGCATCAAACTTCATCACTCACGGTCGTACATCCGTTTACGAACCGACGTCCGTACGCTATGTTCCATTTTTCCGGTTGTTGTACTTTCTTCCCAGGTGATGCTGGTGGGGACGGCCGGTCGCGGCATTCTTGCCTGGCATGCAGATACCCGGCGTGCGGCCAGCGAGATGCCTCCTGACCCCACCGCGCCGTGGGTAAGCCAGCTGGCTTGCAGCCGGAAGGATCCCGTCTTCATCGTCGCGGCCGCGACGGCGCCGCCGCCGGGCTCCCGCGCCGCCGCCGCCGCCGCTGCCAGGCTGGCGGCGGCGTCGCCAGCTACTGCGATCGCCGCTGGCGCGGCGGCCGTTGCTGCCGGTCTGTCAGGGCCGCCGCACACCGTCACGCAGCGTGTTTTATCGCCGCCGCCTCCCCCCCCGCCGCACCGACAACAACATCTCCCACCGCCGCACCCACACCCACACTCACACCCACAACCACTTCACCAACGTCATCCCGCGGCGCTCTGTCCGGGATCGCCGCCGCAGCGTGTGCTGCCACCCGCGGTCAGCGGCGTGAGCTCTAGCAGTAGCAGCAGCAGCACTAGCAGCAGCGGGAGCAGTAGCAGTACTGGCCGACTAAGCGTGTGGAACATGCGGGCATTTAAGCGGGTCAGCAACTACAACGTGCCGCAGGTACGAGATAATACCGTACATTAAGACATGTCGTATTGCTTTCTTTCTCCCCCTGTCTTTCTCCCCCGGGTGTCATTGCAGTTCGTCGTGTTGCATTGAAGGGGGGCTCTGTCGGACTGTCCACTCCTGTCGCGGCATGTGTGTTTCACCCCTCCCTCCCCCTCCGCGGTCTGGTGCTGGTGCTGCGGTCCGCAGCTGTTCGTCCCGCCTCCTTCAATCTAACACCCCCCCCTACACCCTACACCCTACATTTTACCCTGCACTCCCGTCTTTTGTGACCGCAGTAAGTTGTCTGTGTGCTTTGTTGCTTATCACGACGTGATGGTTCATCCTCCCTCCCACAAACACCGCCTTGGGGTGCCCTTCTGCCGGCACATGACCCGCGCCCCCACCCGGAAACCAACCAACCCAACCGCCAACGGTACCCAACCGTCAACACGCCAACAGAACTCCCCGGTGACCAGTCTGGCGTTCAACGCACAGGTACGGCAACCGCTGCTGCGGCCAAGGCGCCGCCAAGGGGACGTGTCGTTATGAGACAATTCACCCACACCGGGATCATTTGTGTCTGTCCGTCTGTCCGTATGCGTTGCAATTTATTGTAGGCGTTACCCCGCGATGTATCTTTCACGTCCTCGCTTCTCCTTGCTGTATGTACCCTCCCTGGTTCCCTCTTCCTCCCCTTCCCCTCCCCTCCCCTCCCCTCCCCTCCCCTCCCCTCCCCTCCCCTCCCCTC